GGCTTTTCACCAAAACCAACTTGATTCCATACAAATATTCTTCGTATTACAGGGTTGTCACCTACAAAAGAGCCTGAAGGGTTGCTATGGGCAATACTCTATCCGTTCGTTTTTAAAATTTACTATATACAACAATGTGCATGTGATTTCTTAATGCTCCACTCCGGGCTCCGGGGGTTACATTTACCATTGCATGGCATGGGTTTTATGCTGGGTTGGCTATGGGGGCGAAATGGTTCCCCAAAGCCATTTCACTTTGCTGCCTGGGCTGGCTGCAGATTTCTGGTGTCACTATGTATAATGCAGGACCAGCAGTACCATATTGTATGGGAGGGCGGCCATTCCTGAGCATCAGACAGCAGAGGAGAGCTCCGACAGCAGGAGGGGCGAAGAACACAATAAGTAGAGATGAACTTAGGTTCAGACTGAACCCAGTCAGACAGAACCTAAGCTCCTCTGTACAAGGAAGTACCCTGGGCACTGCCACCCACCCACGGTAAACAAACATTACTAGTCAAAAAGTGACTGGCACTCCACTTCAAGTTATAGTCAATCTTCTTTATTGTCGCTGGTAGTGTCACATTGCTAAGCGACTTTTTCAGAACCATGTGGTCCCTTCTTCAGGCAAACAAAAGCGCGATCACGCTGAAGAAGGGATCACATGGTTCCGAAATGTTTTTGCTTAGCAATGTGACACTACCATGGACAATAAAGAAGATTGATTATAACTTGAAGTGGAGTGTGAGTGACTTTTTGACGAGTTACACTTGATTTGCAGAGGCATCTGCGGTCACTCCAGCACCCATCCGACTTTTTATGGGTTTTCCGGTCAGGAGTGCGATGGGATTTACCATGTATTGTCTATGTAAACAAAGGGGCGGGATGCTTGAGCTGACATAATTTACCTTATATGGTCACATATGGCCGTATAAGGTCAATGACATCACTGCATCCCACCCCTTTGCTTATATCAACGTGGTGTTGGGGAATTGCCTGCCAGCAGCTGATTGGGCATGCAGGAAGAGCTCCTTCCGGGTTCGGAGGAGCTCAAGGTTGGACCGGTTTTGGTGCAAACCTGAGCTCATCTCTAACAGTGAGTATTTGTACTCATAACCCCTACCCCTAGCTAAATGAACATTTATGCTATGTAAGGGGGACCCAATGCATGGGTACATTTAACAGCAGCCCAGAGTTGGGTTTTAAAGGAGATGTAACCCCCAGCTGCCAAAATCTCATATAACCTTGAACATTTCCAAATCTACAAAATACCTGGTGATCATGCTATTAAGGTCCTTGATCAGGTACTTCCTGCTATAAGGTGACAACATTCTGTCCCTGTCTGCTAATTGCACTCCTGCATTGTCACCCTGTTGCATGCACTTCCATTGGGGACAATAAACAGATGGGCCAATGCGCAATGCGCAGACACCATCAGGATACCCGGCTAAGAAATAATATGCGGCTGGCGCTGAAGTGCATGTAGACAGGAAGGGGAGTCATTTATTTTTTCCTATCTGTCTGTGAAGATTTCCCTTCACTTCCTCTCCTTGGGATGCAACAGGAAATAAGAGGAAATCTCTACAAAGTGAGAGGAGAACCCCTCTTAGGTGTCACTACTGGAAGATTTCCACTTACCCCCTGTTCTGGTGAAAACTCTGAAATGTTGGATTACCCATCACTTTTCATCTCAGTGATAACGGTCCTTATTTTTTATAATAGAACCTAGGTTAGGGTGCTTTGTGTGTGATTGCTGGGGAGATTTCCCCTTACTTCCTGTTCTGGTGACAACTCTGAAATGTTGGATTTCCCTTCACTTTCTATCTGATAATGGTCTATATAGCAAAAATAAATCCTTATTTTTATAAAGGGATATAACCTAGGTTAGGGTGCTGTGTGTGTGTGAATGCTGGGGAGATTTCACCTTACTTCCTGTCCCAGTGGTCACCAAGACAGGAAGTCAATGGAGATCTTTGCAACAGAGTCACAGACAGCAATAAATAACTTTATAGAATGTCTAATCCTTCCCTACGCCCTACAGACACTTTAATTTTTAAAAAAAAAGACAAGATAAGGGTTTATAGTCCTTTCAAGGAAAAGTAAACAATTTGTTGGGGCCCCTTAAGCAGGTTTGTCTTTCCAGGTACAGGATCATTGCAGTGAATGAGCTGTTTCTACATACACATCTCCTGGGAATCCTCTGCCCTACAATGCCCCATGAAATATGCATGCCCGCACAGAAGTCTGCAAGGTGCTGGGCCCAGATCAGGTTCCCAAGTCCTCCAGTCAGAAAAGAAAGGAGGCCCTCCTCCAACTGGCACAGCACATTTGCTCGCTCGCATGGCTGCGTTGTCCGCATGAATTATGCAGCGGGGCCCGTGGATTGCGGGGCAAGGCTTGCCGGGGACACAATGGGAGGAGATGACAGATCCAGCGGGCAGAGGGCACCCAGGGTTCAGCAGTCTCGGGCAACGAGAACGCGGATCGGATGGCAGCACATATGTTTTGGGATAACCACCTGTCCGAATGAACGTGGCGTTCGCCCCCGGGTCATCTCAGCGAGGATATGCCGAGCGCGTACTCTTATGATGCGTTTATAACCAGCGTGCGCCATTATGTAAATTCTTTATTATGATATCGAGCGTGTTATTAGATGACCCCCCTTTGTACTGCACTGCAGAATACCGGTCTGATTAATTTATAAAGCACATCACAATGGTGACACAACACAACAATGAAATCACTGATACCGGTGTCCGTGAAAGATGGGGTTGTGTCAGCTTCCAAGCTGAACTCTGGGTTACTCTAAAATGTAACCATGCAGTAGACGGCACCGCCCCCAGCCCACCCAACGCCCACCACA